TGTAAAGACTAACCTCTCCAAGTATTCTATGCCACTTGATCCCTTATCTTTGCAGTGGCCGGGAGTTTTTAAAAACTTCTTAAAGTTTTCAATGCTTTCATTCATGTCTTTTTGAGTCTTGCAGAAAACAATTTTCTGGAATGCTTCCTCCAGTTGCAGCTCTAGAACTGTCCTATGGGCAGGGGATTCAGGCGTGAGCGAAGTTCCAATGTTGGTGATGAAGTTTCGTTTAAGATGAATGTAGCAGAGCAAGCTACCTGAAAAAGGAAACACCGCTTTGATCGCGTTACGAATAGCCTTGCCATTATCAGTAACGAATACTTCAGGATAATCGTTCTGGTAATTTGGCCAAATACCCTCCCTTAACTGTTCGAAAACCCAGGTATATGTGGTCTCTAGTTCGTTACTCACCCACGCACATGCAATTGGAAACGTTTGCAGGCTTTCTCTATCAGAGTCAGTGCTTGTAACGTTTGATGTACCTACAACGTTGACAAAAGTCAACTTATGAACGTTTGTTTTGTATGTTGCATCCACTATGACACATTCTGGCATCACTTTTGCTTCTTTGATTGCTTCTTCATGAGTGAAAAATATTGAACAAATACGATTCTGTGAATCTACGGTGAATCGTACAAGGTAATTCTTCTCTTGAAGACTAGAGATGAAGGCGTACATTTCTTTGGATGATTCGCTCTTGAAAAAAATATCTTTTATATTGTAAATATCCTTCTTCAAGACGTTATATATGCCATTCAAGCGCAATACCTGGATTTGTACAAAATTAACAAAAAGAGCATTAATATATATTTTAAACAACTCACTTGCATGACCGTCTCTACTGGGTTTGGCGTAGGTAACGAAAGAGTTCGCATAATGAGATCCATTACCTCTTGAGATTGCTTTCTATGGATTGCGTAGATTGTACGGCATGAAAAAATAGGATGGTTATGCTTACCGCATGATCCAGAGACCCTCAGTCCGCCAGAAGGGGAAGCAACAAGCTTGATAAAGCATTGGCACTCGTTCCTTTGGGTATCCCTGATAACCATCTTTTTATTTAAGCCGTCTTCTTCAAAATCACAAGGAGCGGCACCATTTGGTTGCTCATCTTCAGTTGCTACCTTTTTTCCTGGTTTATACTTACCAAAATGCTTGCAAGCCAAAGCAAGGTAGGTTTTCTTTGCATTGGAGCGGACAGTAACAAGAACAGCGTTCCATTTTTTACCAAAATCCACGGCAACGCTGCGAGCTTCAGCAATGCTGGCATACTCACAATCTACACCAAATCTTTCAGAGAATTCGACATTCATATCTTTAAAGTTGTCTTGAACCAAGTTCACAATGTTGTTGTCGACGGCGTTGGAATTCATAGCTTAGGTTATATCTTGTAAATTAGATAAAAGAAAAGGAACAAGGGTAGCAAGTTTTTCCTTTATTATAATTAGTGAAATTAAAAACCAGCTTCTTCGAGCTTCAAAAGATATAATGGCTGCTATACTGCTCTTTTATGGTATACTCAAGGCGCATGAACAGTTTTGAATTTAAACATCCGAATCAGGAACAAGGAATGGCCAAGCCTAAACACGCGCACTCCTCGCGCACTACTCCAAGAGAATGTAACGTCACTATTTTGAAATCTGGGAGTGCGCGAGGGAGTGCGCCAAGAATCTCCCTATTATTAAGAACTATAAAATTGTCACTACATTGTTTTGGTTTTTGGGTTTAAGTTAATGTATATATAGTTATGTGGGCAGCTGACAGTTGTGATAGCAAAGGGTTTAAAGAACAACATGGGGAGTTGGAAGCGAGGAGACACGTAAAATCAATAGTGCTTCTTGAATAGATACTTGAACAGCACGAAGTATCGTCACAGAGCAAAAAGGTTGATTATGAAAGACCATAGCCCAACGATACCTCCAAAAAGAAACATGGACATGGTCAAAGATAACGAGTACAGGCGGATCACACTGTTGTTTGAGTGTTGGAAACTGAAAGTTGAAAAGTGCTCGGCGCTGTAGTAGAAAAAGGTGAATCAAAATGTTGTCCCCAGATTACTTTCCAGATGAACTGCTTGCTAGGGTGGTTAAAGGCGAAGTAAGGTATGTCTTACACCGAGGAAAAATAAAGAACGCATTTGACCGAGTCGAAAACAGCAGGCAGAAGCTGAAAGAGGGTAAAACGACCCGGTATTTTTGAGTGTAATAAATAAAACCATACATACGACTTTGTATTGTAAGAGAAAAAGACCAGAATGCTTTCCATCTTTTGGCAGGAAGCGTCGGATGAGTGGAGGACCGCTTCTGAAATGCTAAACATGCTTGGCGGTATGCAGTGGACATGAGCATTCAGATACCACCAGATGGTATTAGACATAGAGTTTCAAGAAAGGGTAAAAAGTCTACACTGGTGTGAGTAACCGGCGAGTAAGACTGGGCAGCTTGTGTGGCAGCAGAAACCAGGAGGAAAGTACGGATAAAAGACGGGGTTAAACGAACTTTATCATGGCGAATATACTTCAGAAAATGTCTAATCAGTCTAGGTGATGTAGTGATTTCAGCACCGTTTCGTGGCCGCATACGGCTATGACTGACATCAATAGCGTATACACGAGAGGATGGTAAACAGGCAGTAAAGCGAGGGAGAAGAGTGGTATCCATCGGTAGGACGACAGCTGCAATAGGCAGCACCAGGACAGTTTAAGGGTTGATGACCACGCTAGAAAAATTGTATGGCAGGAGGCTCAAAGCCTTAAACAGAAGGGAAAGTGAACTGTCGAGATGTCGCAAGGCGAAGTGAAGCTCTCGGAATAGTATGTATAGCCGGAAATCTTGTTCCAGGGAAACCATTGAGTCAGTAACTGCACAGCGGTAAAGAAGAAAATCTATAAGACGAGGGAGGACAATGTGTGCAGGAGTTGAGTGGGCTCGTTGGAGAACAGTGAAGTAGAGGCAGGAGCCAATGTAGCTGGAGCACTCCCTGCTGAATAAAAGGATCAAGCAGTCCAAGCCCACCTTGAGAATGGGGCTTGCAAAGTGAGTTGAAGCTGATCTGTGGGGGGATACAATGGTTGATGAAGGAAGAGGCAATGCTTCGTACATGTGCCGAATAGTTTTTGGGGATCGAGAGAACGCGCAGAGCATGTCACAATTTGGCAAGCACCAAGGTGTTCAGAATAGTAGCTCGGTAACAGACGGACAGGGCACGATGTGAGTGAATATTACAGACAGAAGAAATCTTACTGAGGAGAAGTTCCAAGTAGCCATTCCGCTGTGAAACGGAAGAGAAGAGAGGAAAATCCAAGTAAATTACCAGTTAAGGACAGGAACGATCGTGCCAAGCAAGAATACGGCACCACAAAAGCGGCGATCGCTATATTTGGTTGTACACGGTAGGAGAGCCGGACAGAGAAAGTGCTTCAGTTTTATGAAAATTCACCTTGGTATTAGAGGCTCGTGAGTAGGCGTCCAGATGTGCTTGAAGAACGCTCAGATCAGAAGGGGTCTGAAGAAGGCAAGCAACGTTATCAGCATATGCCAGCAGCTTAACGGAAGCAACAAACGAGGATTGTAAAGGTGATGACAGCCATCGAGGGAGTAAGAAGCCAGGGAAAGAAGGGTCCACCAAGATATGACGCAATAGTAGCTCAAACGCGAGGTTAAAGAGTAATGGAGAAAATGGATCACCTTGGCGCAAGCCGCGACATTGTTGTACTGAGCTAGAGAGAGACCCATTGATATTTACTTCAAGTTCGGCACCAAAAAATAATTGGTGATCTGAATTCACGATACAGGAAGGAAATTCAAAGTGAACAAGGACACGATGAAGGTATTCTGGGTGGACCCTGTCATAAGCTTTTTCTTGGCCGAGGAGCTGACCAATTGCAGAAGAATTAATACTGCGAGCATGTTCCATAACAAGCTTCATAAGAAGACCATTGTCTGCAGTAAAGCGGCCGCGAACAAAACCTGTCTGAAAGGAATTTACTAGAGAATCAGTTCAGGAAATGATGCGAGAGTTCAAAATCCTTATAAAAACTTTGGCAACAATGTTAACCAACGAAGTTGGACGCCAATTGCGCAAGTCATAGAGGTCCCCTTTCTTGAGAAGCAAGGGGACAGATGTACCATACCAAGATTGGGGAAAAATACCGGAAATCAATCCGTCATTGTAGACTTGAAGGAGAATAGGTTAGAAGGCCGGATGTGCAAAAATTAGTCGAAGAATCTCGTAGGGGATACCATCCTTTCCAGGGCTGCTTTTACGAGATGAGCGATCTACACTTTCGAAAAGATCATCCCAGTCAATAGGATCAGAAAGAATTTGTTGGTCGATGGAAGATAGTTGCAGTGGAGAAGGTAGAGTGCTCAAAAGATCGTCAGCAGCAGCGTCGTTAATAAGTTCTGGAGAGTAGAGCTCAGAGCAAAAGCTATGTGTTGCATCAAGCATGATAGCATGGTTATCACGCATGGCATTAATGACAAGGTGGGTAAGTGTGGTGATCATCTGGCGGGATTGTCGCTGGGCAACAGCCCGCTTCAGGTACCCAGCGGATATCTCATCGAGTTCATGCCATCGAACGCCAGAACGGAGGGCTAAAGTTTCAACTTGGTATTGCTGTAAAGTAGCTAGTTGGGCTTCAATCGCAGATAGTTGTGGCAAAAGTTGTGCTGGATTATCAGGGTAATTCCGAAAAGATTTATTAAGACTGTGGCATTTTCCCTGAAGAATCCGCTCGGCAGTGGTCAACTGATTAAACTGGCGTTTTGAAAACTTGCATGCGACAGTCTAAGGACGTGAAGAAACTGAAGAAGTTAAGCGGAGGTGCATTGACAACAGAAGCTGATCAGATCATGCAGGCTGAACGAAAGTAGTGAATGAGGACACTTTACAGTCAAGCAAGTTATAGATGACGAAAATATAGTCAATACAATAGCGGGTCATGCCACGGTGAAAGGTAGCCTCAGAGGAGCTGTCAACAGGTGTAATGCTGTCATAGAAGAATTGATCGATGCACTGGGGCCAAGAGGAAGGCACTTGCCGTGGACGAGATGTCGAAAGATGTGTAGCATAACTATAATTGAAATCGTCGAGTAATATTTGCCTGGCAGGAGACGTTCTCAAGACATCAGAGGGATGTCGGAGAATGTCAGATAAAAATGTATAACGAAGACGTCGGTTTGTGGAGGCATATAACACAGACACTATGAGAAGATCAAAAAGCCGATGTTTGTGAGAAATGGTGACAGTGATTATACGCCCACAGTCACTGATAGTAGAGTTTGTGAGAAAGAGGTCAGGCGAGAAGCACACTAGGCTACAGTGACGAGACCAAATGTAGTCTATAGCCTGGAATTGAATATGAAATACTTGCTGTAGTTCAACTGAAGAAGCATGTGTTTCTTGGCGAGCGAGAATATCAAAAGAATGAGTACTAAGATAAGGAATAAAATGATTTCGAACGGAGGGATCGCCCAGATTTGCGAAGCTTACGACAGCTAATGATTGCGGTTTTAAAATTAGCGATAGTAGTAGTGATATTAGTGGTATTAATAGTAGAGGCTTGTGAAGAGTTTGAAAATATAGTAGATACATTGAAGGAACTATCCCGATTATCATGACCTAATGCGTGATAGTCCATCATAATATAGATTATTGGTGGTTACCGTGTCCAGAGATACCCGATTGGTTGTTACGGAAGCCAATGGCTGACGCAGGATCAACATTAGAGGGAGCATCTTGGCGATGGGAAGCATCATCATTATCAAGTTCCATTGATTCACTCTCAACAGCCTCAGAACTAGAAACAGGAATTTTATTCCTGGCATTCAAAGGACATTTACTGCTTCTCTTAGATGGATGGCCAGTTTGATTACAGGCGGAACAGACTTTTTCCAAAGCGACCAGTATATCGGGTGAAGCGTCTGGGAGATCTTCGGAAGAGATTAAAGCAGCAGCAGTCTGAGACCTGGTCTGATGAGGAGGATAGCGTGAGAAAGATGCAATTGAAGCAGAGAGAGAACCAGTGGCTGTCACAGTCAAAACAGCAGAAACATCAGGGCCGACTGAGGAACATCAATCTTAGAGTTGGCCGGAGTAGAGTGAACAGCCGACGAAGATTGGGTAGAGGCGCTTCGTACAGCTGGTTTCTTAGTCTGATTGTCATGAAGAAGAGCCTGTGTGGTAACAGGCGGCTTATGGGCCTTATTGGACTCAGTAGAATTGACATAAGAGTCCTTACGAGAGCAGTCCTTAGGCATATGTTCGATCTCATTGCAGTGGTTAATAGGAGATATATGTTAATATTTAAGATGCCTTTGGCTTTTATACGAAATATATTGATTATATTACGTGAAAGGGTGTGATATTCTTCGATATAAACGTAGAAATATGACAACACTTACCATTTGAACGATAATAACCCAGTAGTATTCCCAGAGTACTTAAACATTTGAGAAACTGCCTCAACAAATATTGCTCATTCATCCATGTCTGTCTGAATGGCCTCTGGGAGGGTAATCTGATGACGTTTTCGCTGTTGTTCTTCTTCGATTCGAAATCGAGTGGCAAATTATTGATACAGTTTCTTGATTTGCTCAGGAAAGAGACACTGATTTGGTTGTATATTGTGCTCACTTTCCATAATAATATCCACGATGCGCGACTTGAAGAGACTTAAAAGAGACAGCTATTTATTATGTTTTCAAATAAAAAAGCGCAAATCGAAGAGTTTATACCTAATCCTTTGCCTTCCTTTCGTCATTTGGAATCAGGTTAGGCCCATCAAGCAATCAACCTTGTCGAAATATAATATCGAAGCTGCGGATTTAAAATATCAATGATGTATCCAACTTGTTAATATTGGTAAAAAGAGCCAACCTCAGCAAGTCGCCATAAATGTTTAATGCTGATGCCGACAACCGCAAAGATGAAAAATCTGAAGCAACATATAAACTATCACCCACAAGGGCCACATCAATAACAATTCCCTTGACGGCCGCTATTTGTATCACTTGCCCTCTATAAAGTGCTTTTATCTTCTTTTTAACTTTAGTTTCTCATGTTCTGAGAGTTTTTAACAAATCTACTATTTTGCTATCGGAATGAAGCATACAAACTCGAACATCAACTTTATCACTGCTTTTCAAAAAGTATTGCTGGATCACGTTACAATTGGTTAAGTATTGGACATATCACATATTACTACCATCGATGGCATTGTAGATGCTGTCCTCAGCAAGTCAAATAACAGCTCTACTGGCCCTCCCTTCACTCCAAAGCCTCTGGTGGGCTATTAAACGTGCCTTTCGCACCAACAGATAATACAACATCCTTTCGTTTAAGATCATGTGCTGTTCTGTTTCTGGTAATAACTTGTACCACATAGAGCTGTGGTGATTATTCGAAAGTCGATACGGTACAGTAAAACTGGGCCAAGTCTTTTATTAATTTGAAACATGGATCTTATAAATACTAATAACTTAGCTAGCCCTTATTGTATTGTAATCTAGGAGACAGGAATAACAGTATTGCATGTATTGAAATGTTAGTAATGTAGTAATGTTAATGTTGGATGTTTTGCATGTTTTATGCAAGAATATGCTATGGTGTTTACGTTCGAATACGACAGGATAATCAATGTACATCTTTCAACTTTATATTGTAAAAGTTAAATTCTACATTCATTCTTTCATTCCTCTTTCATTATTATCAATGCAGCTATTTAATAAAGATATGCACCTGTTTGTCCTAAAACAGTTATATTGATTCAATTAATGCAAGAGGAATCAATTTAGGGTTACCTCACTTGCTAATTCTACGATTTTCTTTTCGTTAAACAAAAATGCGCAACCTCAGATCAAATACTGTCAGTAAAGATGCATCTGATCAAAAGAGAAAAGGGGCTTCACGGACTTAAACAAAAAGAGAGAATGGGCGTATCACAAGCTCAAGAGCACAATTTAAAAAAGAAATGTAAGCAATTTATTCTTTTTAATGATTTTTATGTGGCACAGACTGTAAAACGAAGTCCCTTAAAATTTCTATTACCATCTATAAAAAGCCGTTTCCTGTTGTCCTCAGTAGCCCCTTGCTTATTCAATTTATCCTCATATAAAATGTCTAACTTCCTTAACAATTCCACCGTTAATGGTGCTGTAAATATCAACATCTGCGACAAAAGATCTAGAAGTATGTTCCACGATAAATAATTCAATGCCAAAGGAGTTTTTATAAGTGAGAAGATTTATATTTATTCTTTTTAATCTATAGGCCCAAGCGCTGAGTCATCCGTCTCATCTGTTTCCTCTTGCGAGGTCAAGCGATCAAGGAAACTTGATTATCTTGCCGGCAATGGGCAAAAAGAATGGGAACCAAAAGACAAGGTAAAATGCGTAAGCCGTTGTGGTTGATGGATCTCTTATTATTCTCATTAGTTGATCCTCAACGGTATAGACATTACTGCAGCATTGATCAAGTTTAGGAACAACAGCATAAAGGCAGCTGAGAAGAAAAATGACTTGAATTCACTGCGTATTCTGTAAGTTCACATAATTTTTTTTTTTTGATTTTTTGATTGGGCTAATTGTAATCGAACCAGCTCGTTGTCGCACGTGTTCCTGGTGAACAAGCTTGAGCCTAAGAACTGCGTTACCAGTTACTTGGAAGATAAAGAAGCAAAAGAACTGAGCAACTGGTCACACAGTCTTATTTATGATATTCCAAGAGCATCAAGTGATGCAGTCTTATACTGCAAAGCAATTGCAGATGTACGTTGAACTAAATGCAATAAATACAACCTGTTAATATTGTCAATAATTAGGGAAATGAAGTCGAAGGCTATAAATGTGAGGATAGCAATACTTTATCAGAAAGTATCAAGGATTTAGCCGAGCAACTAATTAACAACAAGGCTAAGATCAACCAAGCATCTGAAGCGAGCTTTATGGACAAGCATTTGATGCCAGAAATAAGAAGAGTCCTTCTTAACAATGCCTCTGATGATATTGTTTACGCAATGTAAATATATACATCCTATATCTACGTTTATTTTAATACTGATGACCTTGTTATTGTCATAAATAGGATCGATGGGATGGATACGAATAAGAAAAAGCCCGACTTTATGCTGGGTTTCAGCAAGAAAAGAAAAGACATCTACTGCTTTTTTGTAGAGGTCAAGAGACCAAAGCAAAAAAGCAGCTATCAAGAGGAAGATGATATGACCAAGCTGCTCAAGCAGCTTAAATTTTCAATTGATAAACAGCTACTTTTGGGGTTGCGGGATCCCGTGTCTCTTGGCTTGCTGGTAGAGGGTGTGTTTTAACTGTACATACGAAAAAACAGTAATTAACAACGTTGATTATTCAATAGGCTTCAAATGTTCTTTATATAAGATGACACTGGTAGCAGACGGAATTTACCTGCCGTGGTTGGTGAAGCGATTTTCTTTGGTGGAAGAAATCCACCAGATGGTTCTTTTACCATCGATAGTCGAATCGTTGACTTTTGTGAAGGTATTGTTATAAATAAACTAGACCCAGTAACAATACGCTAACATGCTTTATAGAACGAACTTGTTGCGACAAAGGAAAGATTGGACGAAAAGAAGCTGAGGAGCGAAAAGAAGACCGCCAAAGAGCGCATAAGACCTTCGTTCATTACAAAATTTCAATAATAATAATAACAATAATCTTTGCTGTCAAAAAACTTATGAAGAGTAAAATTTCTTGTTCGAAGTTTTTGATCCCAAAATAGGTGTAATTTTGAGCTCTATTAGTTACGTAAAGTATATAAGAGTAAGACTAAAGACGAAATATAATTTTATCGAGTTCAAATTGAGGATTTTATATCTAAGCTAAAGAAGACATTTTAAATTTTCAAGTATATAAGTCATCAAGGTTATCAAAGTGTATATATGTCAAATGTAAGGATTCGTATAATATAATTATCAAAAGAAGCAAAATACAATAGGTTCAGAATATAAGAATTGAATAAAAATAAACACTAGTGTAAAGCCTGTGCGTAAGAATACCATGCAGATAAAAACAAGTAATACTATTGATGCTTATAGCTTATCCGTATGTTAGGAATCGGCTAGTTGATTTGTGTTTGTAGTTATCGTACGAAAGGGCAAGGACGTAGCTTGAATCAATAAAAAAAAAAAAGATGCTTGTGCCAATAGCCAAGTAATTTACAGCAGAACTTTAATCAAGAAAGATGCCAAAGCCTTGTAAACAACAAAAGGAAGTGCAAATACACGTAGCGTACTTTGAGTGCCAGCACTCCAAGAGCATCAGATGTCGGCTGATGAATCATCCCAGAGTGATGACAAACAAAGAGGTCAAAAGGTTACTGAAGAGCACAGAAAGAAGGCCTGCATCTTAACGTGATTGCTCACATCGCGGAAGGCTCATCTTTCGTTGACAGGATCCTCAACAGTACTACTTTTCGCCAACAGGCAGCGCCCTTGCAAGCAAAGGAACCTTGCTACTGTGTGATAATAGTTTAAGAGATTGATTGTTGATTGCTCAGTAAGAAAAAGCAATCTTTTCGATGGACAGCTCTTGGTGCACTACTACGTGCACAACCATTGTTCAAGATATGACATCTCTTTTTTTTCGAGTTTTGTTACATACCTTTGAAGCAATGTCACGACGTTGCTAGCATAGTTAGTGCAGCTAGTAACACGATGACGGTCCTTTCTTTTTGGAGTTTATTTATCTATAATTAAACTTTTAGCAACATCTCTTCCCTTCAATTTCATTTTAGTTTAGCAGCCAATAACAAAGTGCTCTCAATATGATCTGGCAACATGATTAGAGCAACGAAAAGTTGAAGAAATCGAAAAAGACGAGAGTCGGGGATGAAGACAATGTTTAGCATACTGATACCTTCACTCGAGCTGAACTTTTGTGTCAACAAGTGAAGGATACGTTTTGATAGGCCCTAATCGACAGGAAGTGCTTTACTGCATGAAAGGAAACTAGCGTTAAAGCAATCACGATACTTCAAGATTCTATAAACGAAAACTCAGTAAAAAAATATCATCCGTGATAGACTCTGGTATCGCTCTTGTGTATGTGCGTGTAGATGCTTAACGTCATGTGTATATCGTACCTCACTTTCACAAGAGAAGGAAGGCTATGCTTTGATTTACCCAATACCAAGTTGAGCGAGATACTGTTTGAATTTGTTCAGTTTACAAGAATGCAGTGTGAATTTTATATGTAACATGTATTGATATTTTATGTTGTACAAGTTGGAAATAATAAAGAAAAGGTTGATTTTACCCTTGTGTCTAAAGTGAGAAGAATGGCTGATATCTGATTTTGATCATTTCTTGTTGTTCTATTACAAGTGTATGTCATATTTCAAATGAGGAGAGAGAGAAGAGGGGGCGTTTGAACAAGTTTATTGGATGTGAGTTAAACACCTTTTTTACTACGCTTTTGTTGATCTATTTGTACAAATTCAGCAGCCGATGCTAATAAATCGATAGGTGACATTTCATTTGAAGCTAATAGCGGATGCTGTTGTTGTTGTTGTTGTTGCTGCTGCTGTTGTAATAACATCCGCCTTTGTTTAGATTCACGATTCAATTTCGCTCTACGATTTTGAAACCAAACCTGAAAGAAAAGGGAATGTTAATTGAATGCTGTATGAAGCAAATAAAACTTGCCTGCACTTCTCTTTTTGTCATATCTAATTCAGTTGCTAAATTTTCTCTTATTTCAGAGCTTGGGGTATCAGTTTGATCAAATATTTCCATTAGCCTATTATATTGAGCTGGCGTTATTCTTTTCCTCTTTGTTTTGGGCTGTTGCTCTTCATTTATGCCATTATCATTTAATAAAGAGGATATCGATAATCTTTTATTCTTTTGCATAAAATCAAAAAGAAAAAAGAAAAATATGCAGAAAAAAATATATCGGATAATGTCTCAATTAAATCAATTCCCTCGTTTCTTATTTGCCCTTTTTCACTCTATTTTTTGGGATGTATTTGATATTAATAAACTTTAGTTTGTTGCTTGGATACAGGATGGCAACTTGGTAATCGATTGAATAATGCAACAGTATCGTTACACACACTCTATACACCCTCCATTCATTTTCCTCTCTCTTTTTTAAAACTCTCTCTTTTCTCTTTAAACAACATTACCATGGAAGCATTTCTTAGCACTTTGCCTCCTTATGTACATAAATTTCTTGATAAATACCCACCTACGGACGTATTTAATCTTTTGAGAGAACTCATATGTTTTGCTGTTCTCTATTCTGAGGATCGTGAACGTATAAAGGCTGCAACGGAAGAGTTTTTGGCTAAACGAGAAAATGAAGAAATCGAACAAGAAGAAGACAAGGAAGAAGATAAAGAAGAACAAGAACAAGAAGAAGAAGAAGAAGAAGAAATTGAGCAACAGGTAGAAACGACTATTTATTTTTCTTTTTACTGACACTTCATCGCAGGTACCTATCCAGCACAACAGCATAATAGTTCCTCCAAAAGAACCTTCGGAAGAAAAGAAACAATCTAAAATGCCAAACACATTTCCTGAATGGTGGGGTCATCAAGAGTTTGAACCACCAGAAAAGAAACCGTTGACAAAGACGGCTTCTTTATGGGTCTCTCGTAAGTTGAAATATATATACATATAATGCCCATTAATGTTTAATAGTCGACCACGAGGAAAAACAAATTAAACGTGCATCAAGGTACTATTATATACATATTCAAGATATAGCCAGTAACCCTGTTTATTTAGTCAAGTAGTTATACCCAACCTTCGTTCTTATATCGAACCTACTTCTTCTCCAAAACAAAAGACAGTAAAGGAAGAACAAGGTAAGGAAATGGTTTGTGTATCCTGTGTATATTCACCTCTTCTTATAGCTAAACCAGCCGCTGCAAAATCACCTGCAAGATCGCCTCAACGATCCCCTTCTGTAATCAAACCACCTAAACAGACTGCAGCTGTTCGTGCAAGAGCAGAGCATGCTAAACAGCTACAACAAGAACTATTACAAAAGAAGAAAGTGGCAGAAACGTCATCAAGTCCAACCAGCCAACGATTGAAACAAAGAGTGAATTCAGGTATAGATTGGGATACGATTAAAAAGGATAGAAGGAAAACGGTAGCGACGGCTACTCTATCAGAGCATCAGAAATGAGAAGCATGAAGCTTTATTATTATAAAAAAAAAGAGTTGGGAGATGATATATAGATAATGAATTATATACAAATAAAAATTTAAATAAACTTGATTCTTAACCGCTGCAGCTCATACAAGCTTCCTTATTGTCAATCGAACAGATCATATCAGCCTGGTTCTTTTCTTCCATCTTTTTTCTATATTCACGTAACGAGAGCTGATCTACAGTGAACTTGATGGCATCGACAGCAGGACGTGTACGGAGGTAATACATGCCTGTCTTTAATCCCTTTTGCCAGCCATAAAAGTGCATACTGGTGAGCTTACCAAAGTTGGGTTCAGCCATAAAGATGTTCAAACTTTGACTTTGGTCAATATACGCACCACGATCAGCAGCCATGTCAATGATAGTACGTTGAGAGATTTCCCAGACAGTCTTGTAGAGATCTTTCAAGTTTTGAGGGATGCTGGGCACGTTCTGAATAGACCCTCCGTCAGCCATGATCATGTTCTTCACATCATCGTTCCAGAGACCCATATCGACCAGATCACGGAGTAACCAAGGATTGACCATTTGGTATTCACCTGAGAGCACACGACGGGTGTAGAAGTTGGATGTGTAAGGTTCAAAACATTCATTGAAACCGAGCATTTGAGAAGTGGAGGCAGTAGGCATAGGAGCAACCAGCAGAGAGTTGCGGACACCATGCTTAGCAATCTTTTCCTTGAGTGCGGCCCAGTCCCAGAGGTTGGTAGGTGTGACATTCCACATGTCATATTGCAGGATACCCTTGGACACAGGGCTGCCTTCATAGGTTTCGTAAGGTCCATACTTTTCAGCCAACTCGCAGGAGGCTTCCAGGGCAGCATGGTAGATGGTTTCAAAGATTTGAATGTTCAACTGCTTGGCTTCAGGTGAATCGAATGGATAACGAAGAGCCATGAAAGTGTCGGCTAAGCCTTGAACACCTAAACCAATCGGTCTGTGTCTCTTGTTGGATCTTTCGGCTTCGATGACAGGATAGTAATTGATATCGATGATCTTGTTCAAGTTTCTAGTGATAACCTTGGTAACATCGTGCAGTTTTTGGAAATCATACTTTTCTCTATTGATCACATAGGTAGGTAGAGCAATGGAGGCCAAGTTACAGACAGCGACTTCATCAGGACTCGAGTATTCAACAATTTCTGTACACAGATTGCTGCACTTGATCGTACCCAAGTTTTGCTGATTACTCTTTCTGTTACAAGCATCCTTATAGAGTATGAATGGATTGCCTGTCTCCGTTTGAGCTTCCAAAATGGCATACCACAGCTTTTGAGCCTTGATCGTTTCTCTAGCTCTTCCTTCACGTTCGTATTTTTCATAGAGAGCAACAAACTCGTCACCCCAGATTTCATGTAATCCAGGAGCCTCATTGGGACAAAACAGAGACCAATCACCACCGTCTCTGACACGCTGCATGAAAAGATCAGGAATCCAGAGAGCATAGAACAGATCACGAGCCCTGATTTCGTCTTTGCCAAAGTTTTTTCGCAAGTCTAAAAAGGTAAAAATGTCTGCATGCCAAGGTTCCAAGTACATTGCGAATGCGCCCGGACGCTTATTACCACCTTGATCGACATAACGAGCCGTATTGTTGAAAACACGTAGCATGGGCAACAATCCGTTGGAGTAACCGTTGGTGCCGGCAATGTATGATCCGCTAGCACGAATGTTGTGAATGTTTAAGCCAATGCCGCCTGCTGTCTTGGAGATTTGAGCACAGATTTTGAGCGTCTCATAGATACCTTCGATCGAATCTTCTTTCATGGTGAGCAAGAAGCAAGAAGACATCTGGGGACGAGGTGTGCCTGCATTAAATAGAGTAGGACTAGCGTGTGTAAAGTATCTTTCGGACATCAAGTTGTATGTCTCAATAGCTGCATCAATATCGGTTCCATGGATACCGATCGCAACACGCATGATCAAATGCTGAGGACGTTCGGCAATCTTGCCGTCAATCTTGAGAAGGTAAGAACGCTCGAGAGTTTTGAAACCAAAGAAGTTGTACTTGAAATCACGGTCATAGATGATGGCAGAGTTCAAGCGGTCAGCGTTATCCATGACAACTTTGTACGTTTCATTAGAGATCATGGGTGAGTGTTTGCCTGTCTTGGGATTCACATAATTGTACAAGTCTTCAATTACTTGAGAAAAGACCTTTTTGGTTTCCTTGTGAAGATTAGAAATGGCAATGCGCGCAGCCAACAGAGCATAATCAGGATGGCGAGTGGTCATATAAGCAGCTGTTTCTGCGGCAAGGTTATCGAGTTCGACAGTTGTAACACCTTGGTATACACCAGAGATAACCTATGTTGGGTCATGTTGGTGATGAAAGAAAAATGAAAATGGTTTATGTTACCTTTTGAGTAATGGCAACAGGGTCAATGTAGTTCATGTCAAGTCCGTAGCATAGCTTGTTGATTCTAGCAGTAATCTAAACAAGGATTTAGTTAAAGCTCAAAAGACAATATTACTCCTATGATTACCTTGTCGAAAGCTACTCTTTCATGTCTACCGTCTAAGATATAAACAGTTTAATAACATTCTCCATCCCTTTTATATTCTCGGTTTACCTCTTTTAACTACAAACATTGGCATTTTAACACAAAGAGAAAAGGTATTCTGGTAATAATGTTAAACAAGAAAAAGAACGAAAAAATGAAAAAAAGGGGACGTGTCTTTTTATAAGATCAAAGGGACGCGATTTTTTCTATTTTTTTTTTTTACGCAGAAGTATTATTAAGCAAAAGCGCGTTTTTTGACAGTCTCTAAAATTTTTATTTATCATACTGAGATAATAGCATGGCCACTCTTTCAGCAAATCTATTCTTGGCAGCTTCTGTCATAACAAGCTGATGGTTCTTTTCAAATTGGTTAACAACGTCTAAAGGATTGTCATTGGCATAGACGGGTAAATTAGCTGTTACGCCTGGAGCCAGTTCGATCTTGAAAGTAAGGCAAGGTGTTTTTACAGGATCAGCAGGCATAAATAGTTGCTGTTGTTGTTGGTACTGACAATGTTGCGCGGGTGTAGGAGGTTGCGCAGGAGCAGGTGTGGCGTATTTAGATGCCATGGTGCCCAATGGTTGTTGCTGTTGTTGTTGTGATTGATGCTGAGGAGGTTGTTGTCCCAAAGTTTGTGCAAGTTGTTGATGTTGAGGGGGTTGTTGTGAAGGTAGTCGCTGTCCCCAGGTTTGTTGTTGAGATGGTTGTTGTCCCCAGGTTTGTTGTGGAGGTTGTTGTTGTTGAGGTGGCTGTTGTCCCCAGGTTTGTTGTTGAGGCGGTTGAGCTGAAGGGGTTGCGTACTTTGAAGCAGAGGTCCCATTAGGTTGTTCCCAGAAAGGTGTCTCAACCAACTTGCCAGTAGCCCAAGCACTTGATCCAGGTTGAATAGGGGGCCTGCCTCTGTTTGGAGCAATTTTTAAAGGCTTCGGAGCCCTGGATTGTTGTTGTTGTTGTGGTGGTGGTGGTAGCGGTTGTCCTGATTTACTCTTCTTCTTCTTCTTCTTCTTTTCACCATTTAAACCACCTTTAGGTAAAGGTTTACCCAATCGTCGATCTAAAATGAGCTGTTCATCGACTGGTTTGAAATTTTTGCCTTGACGATGAAGTTGACCAGTACCAATTCCGTTTGATTTGACCTGGACCGTTGGATCAATGAGTGAAGCCCAACCGTCCATGCTGACGCTGACTTCAGTTGTACCTTCTTTATTAATCTTTTGGGTACCCCAGCCTGCGATCTGAAGAGGAGCATATTCTTCGTCTGATTCAGTTTCTGAGTAGTCTGAATATCCACTATAGGACATGTTAAATACAAAATGAAGGGAAAGAGAGAAACGAATGAGTAGGTTGAAAAAGACCAGTAGAATTTTTTTTTTTTTTTTTTTTTTT